CGTGCTGTTGCTCTAAAGTTCTAAACAATTCAAGTTCCCACAATGTCGTAAATTTTTGTCAATATAAAATCCATTCTTAATTTATAAAATGCCGTCATGTGCATGTGACAATATTAAAGTTTGCAAACCAAAAACCAGAATATTTAAATAAGACATTTTTAATGCTTTAAAACGCGAGATATATTACATAAGTAATTTACAATTTATTTTATATGATTTCAGTTTTATAAGTAAAAATAACAACAAAACACTACTAAATCGAATCTTCAAACAATTATGCTAACAACATTGTGTATTAGTTCTATAAAACTTGTTTGACGAGAGCCTTGAGAATTATGACATAATTGCGGCATGTCGCGTACATACGTTTCTTATCATAATAACTAGCTTTTGCCAGCGGATTCGTTTGCAGTCTGATTACTTTGTAGATGAGGAACTCTCAAATGATTGTCAATGGCCGAGGTGATCTAGTACTTCGAATACTACTTGACTTGTTTCGTGAGAGAAAACAAATAATCTATACTGATATATAACGCTAAAGAGTTTGTTTGTTTGAACGCGCTAATCTCAGGAACTACTGGATCGAATTAAAAAAAAATGTATTCATTAGAGCATTTATCGAGGATGATTTATCTGTGACTAATAGGAGCAAGGAAGCAACAGAAAAAGTGGAAAAGTCGGTCAACATTTTTCATCTTTGTCTGTTTTCACTGTGTGCGCTACGAAAACGGATCAAGATATCCAAAAAATATGAATGAAATCTTTTAAGATTAACTTGCAAGAACGACGGGATGCAACCGAGGTAACAGCTTAATTTTTTAAATCTGATGCCCAAAATAACTATTCTATGTGGACGAAGTCACGAACACAGCTAGAGTTCTTATAATATTATGCTATAAATGTAGCTAATATATAGTATAAAATTTGTTAAGACAAATATTAAAATAAATACCTTTTGCTCCCTTTGAATTTTATTTTAACGAGAATAATTCGAATTAAAATCTCCGTGAAATATAATCTAAGCCGAGATAGTTTTTAGATCTTTCAAGATGGTAGAAACGTAGTAACCACCGAATAAAGAATATCTATGGATTTCTGAATATCCAAAAACACAAATACAGCACACCTTTTGTATACAATGTTACCTATTTACCTAATAATACAGATTATAATTTTTAGTTTTTACCCTAAATGGACTTTTCCAAAAGGAATTGCAAATTGATGATTTATTTTATTGTTAAAAATGTATATGCATTCAATCCATGAATCAAACATCATTTATTCATGTACGTAAGTACATTTATAAAACTCAAAACAGTAAAACAATTAAAACTTTAAATTATTATTAAACATTTACTACCAGTTCTCAAATTAAGGGCGTAGAACAAACAAGAAGAACAGACAATAACCTAGGTCCTATTAATTGAACACGTTAATTTTCTCAACGAAAAAGTACAAACATTCATTGGGTGTATTTTAATTGTCGACGCGCAGTTAAAACCGCGCACAGATCGACAGATAATAAATTTCAGCAGACTATACAGATTTAACGACATTGATTCTTGTTTTGATTGGACATGGAATTGTGTTCAAAGGCCTTGTCCTGGCTGGTTGGCATTTGCGACATGACGTCATTTAACTGTGACTCGAGAAGGCTGATCCGCTTACTAAATAGTCAACTTCATTCTATCTATAGTATAAATATACATGTACTAAATCTAGTTATAGTGCAGTCATAATATATAACGTGTTTATGACTTGGCCTGTTTAGAATATTTTCTAATATGTATCATCTGTCGTAATTATAATTTTTATATTTTACTGCAAAGAAGAGTTTTAGTAGTGAGACCAGTATATAAACAACGATGAATACTTAATATTCTTACATTAACTATTTTCCTCCGAGTCCACAAATAAATAAAACTGGTATATATTCGGACATGGCCAATAACTTTATATGTATTTAAATAAAACAATTTAACGGTTTAAACCGCGATATATTTTAGTTAAACTTGTTCGAAAATTATTTTTAACTACGTCCCTCCGTGACCACTGCTGCTGCAAAGCATCCGAAACGAGGGGCCGTAGTTTAATAATTTTTAAAAATAAATAATTTTTAAAACAAGTTTAACTAAAATTTAAATGTGCACAACTCGGGTAAACCTTCCTTTAACCCTAAAACATATTCTTGAAAATTAAAACAAAAGCTATACAGATCTCTTTTCAAAACTTGTTAGTTCAAAAATAGTTAATAGAATATTATTTTTAACCGTGTAAAGTTATTTCTTAACTTTTTATATCCTTTAATTGTATCTGTTCTACGCCTTCCTCCCTCAACGCCGTATATACAGTTAAGTAGACAAACTTTGATATAAAAGTCACGATTCAAAGCAATCTAAAAGGGAAGCAATTAAAAAAGCCCGGGGCAATAATTTATCTTACAATAAATTCAATAATTAGTTAGCGATGTGCGTTCGTTGCAATAGTTGTTCTTTCTGATTGAATTTAAATTGTTTTAGATTAGTTTAACTTCATGAATAATAATAATGAATGTGGAATGAGCTGATGAAACTCTTTCACTTCTTCAATAAGGTGCATGAATATAAGGTCAAACTCTTTTTTTAGTTTCTTTGTAAGAGGTTAAACAATATTTTCTCGTCTATTCAAAACATTTTGTATCCCCCGTGACCATCACGGCTGCTGTGAAGCATTCGAAACGTTGAGTCCTTGATGACAGCAAAATTAATTACTTTTGTCGAAATTTTTCTATTTACTTTGTACAACTTGCGTAAAATTATTGTCTTTATCACAATAAGTATATCGCAATGCTATAAAACTGAATGTTTTCTCAAATATCGCTGCATACATAAAAAAATTAATATTTTTTTTATCTATTAGCTATAATGCCAAACGGTGTTCCGTTGCATATTTTTATGCTACCAATACTGGCTAGTACAGTTTTTATTACATTGCAATGAAGATTGACACAGAGATGGAGAATATAGCAAATAAAATGCCTAAGCATGATTTATGTACCTTTTATTAACTTGTCTTTTATTAAACTTATTCTTAAAGACACAAATAAAATCAGCCAGGAAATATACGCTATTTTATAAATATACATTTTGTGTTGGTTAGCGATAAGTGAATATCCATTTAGTGTAAAGCGATTGCAAAGTCCATTACATCGAGGTTATTATGGCTACAGCTATACGTTACATTAACAGCCATTCCTTTCTCTTATCTATATAAAACGTACTGAAATAGCGAAGAACGTGTCGGTACAACTCTATCAATAAAAGTTTGCACGTCTGAATATTCATTCTCACGTTGCAATTTGCAAATAAAAGTAACCGAATGCAGCTGCACTTAAGAGGTTTAAATAATAGCAACATTTAACATTTTATTTATAACTGGCAACGGAGAGATCGGAGATATTATGATATCATCTTCAGCCCACAAACAGGCTTTATTAAATCGATATGGTCATTCCTTTTTTAATTTAATGTCTGTGGTGTGCGGAATGGTTTTTAAATCTGTGGTCGCTATTTTTTATTGCCATTTAAGAGAAATAATGTATACCTACTACTACTAATATACCTACATAATATGTCGATTTAAAAATGAGTTGTGTATAGGTAAAAAATTAAAGGCAGGTTATAGCGACATGTTGGGTATTCAACTAATATTAGCTAGCTCATTTCGTAATCAATGTCTACAGTTAATTTTATTTCATTATAGTCCTTTAGATGTAAAGCTAATTAGTTTATACACAATATTGCATGAACAATGTACGTTACTTACCCTACTTGCGTAGTCGGTAATAAATTCTAAATTGCATCTTCACACATTACGAAGAAAACGTTACATAACGTTCTGCTTTCACTCACTATGAACATTTGATTTGCTAAAGATGGGAAAATGCTACGTTCATAGTTAACACAACATTCTACGGAAACTTTAACAATAAAAGCAATATTGAGCCTTAAATTTCATAGATTTTTACGATGTGAGGTTTTAGTTAATCAGATAAAGAGCTGCTTTTTGTGGTGAGAAATTCTATCTTCTTAAAGTTCTTAGAGTATAAAAATTTTGAATCAAATTCATTCTTTCGAATTTTCTAATGTATGATTCCAATCAAGTCATATTTCATTACAACTTTTTTGGGGGCAAAATTAATATGTACGAGAGTTCTTCACATACAAGGTAAGCTATATAATTGAAAGAGAGAATCAACTCTTTGTCAGTTTATTAAGATCCATTTTGTTCATTATATGCAATATACAAGAATCGTGTATACGCAAAAATGACTAATGGTCCTTCTCTCGATTCGATTCATTCATTACACGCATATTCGCACAATAAGATATCGATCTGTTAGACTCGAGTATCGTGAAATCGATCATTTTTCATCGGAATCACGCCCCATACATTTCGTACGTGAGATATTTATGGGAGTACGTGATGATGTGTTTACAAGACACCGCTTTTACTGCCTGTTATATGTTATTTTCTCGACAAGAAGTAGATTTACAGATTTAAATGTATATATGCCATTTTAATATTAAATATTGCAGTAAAATTAAAATTGATGAGATTGATAACTTTTAATACATCGAAAGAAACTTTGCTCCGTATAAAGAAACGCTCTCGCAACAAATTACCAGCTGTGTAATTTATGCGAAGGTCATTGACGTCTGTCACTGTCACATTACTATGCCCAAGAGTGTCACGTTTACGTCACTTCACATAAGCAAGTTGAAATTAAACACGTCAGTTTTAGGATAATTTATTAATGAAAACTCGCGTTAAATACAAGAATATCACCTAAAATAGGCTAATATACCACCTTTGTTATAAGTAAAGAGAAGTTCACGCGATCACGTACAATAGTTATAGGTTAGCGGGTAAATATATTTGTGTCTTCATTGTTGTAAATTTTGAAAAGAAAAACACACCGTTTTATTGAGAAATCTCTTTACTTTCAGAATATTATCATAATGAAAAGTTGGGGTATGGTTTTGAGTGCATATATAAGTGTTATTCTGTTTACTTTGGTGTTCTGCACAGTGCAACCGCCTAATATCAACCCGAGCATATTAAGCCAATCGAAATCATTGGGCGAGTGTCAGGCGTGTAAGTCCTTTATAGAATCGTTCAAAGCCGGTCTCGAGAGAACTTCTAGAGGAAAATATGAGGGCGGAGACGCCGCGTGGGAGGAGGAGAAGTTGAAAAAGTCGTATAAACGCAGTGAAATGCGACTAGTCGATATACAAGAGGGAATATGTAAAGAGTCGAAGCACTCTGTTCAATGCTATCATGTAGCTGAAAAGGCAGAGGAGTTAATCGAGGAATGGTGGGCACAAGATGCCAATGAATTTGATGATTTATATGCCTACATCTGTATAGATAAATTGCAGTTATGTTGTCCAAAGCACCACTTTGGCAAAAACTGTATACCATGCCCAGGTGATCATGATAATCTATGTAGTGGAAATGGAAAGTGTAGAGGAGATGGTACTAGAAAAGGCAACGGTACCTGTCTCTGCGATCCTGGTTATTTGGGTGAGAACTGTGACCAGTGTGCAATAGGGTATTACTTATCATACAAAGACAAAAATAAGATGCTCTGCTCAAAATGTCATAGATCATGTATGGGGGGCTGTCGAGATGGCACAGCTAAGGACTGTGTTGCTTGTAGGACTGGCTACATCTTTGATTCAGAAGAGGGTTGCATAGATGTTAATGAGTGTGATGATATCAATAGATGCAAAGCTGCAGAGTTCTGTGAGAATACACTAGGCTCCTACGCATGTGTGCCTTGTGATAAATCGTGTAATGGATGCCATGGTGATGGGCCAGATTTGTGCAGAAAGTGTGCGAAGGGTTACTCTAAGAAAGGAGAGTTGTGTATAGCTGATAGGCAAGATGAAGATAGCGTCGAAGCAATGACAACTACTAGGTAATTAATTATCTGTTAATGTATATGTTATCCTTTTTTATTAATTATTTATTATAAATAGCTAAAATAGATTTTACACCCAAATACCCCAAAATTTTGTTGAACTTCTTTAATTTAAATAAAACACTTTAATAGTTTATAATGTGAAATGTATTAGTTAACATATTTACAATATTTTTTCTGTATAGCTATAGACTCGCCTATTTCTTCAAATACTAACGACAAGGTAACAGATGACGCTAGCATAGCATATTTTTTTACATTGTATAATTGTAAATAAGTAACTAATACATTTCCTGTTAAAAGTGCTAAAATCAGTATTCTGAGAAAAATTTATGTTGCTTCCTAAGATCCAAATCCCCAGAAAAATTTGTTGACCACAGAAATTTTTAACAGAGTCTTATATTATGTACTTTTCCCCTAGCATTTTTTTTTTTACAATTGCATAGAATCTGTTATTTCATTTTTCTTCTCTAGATATTAAATATGTTTCCTCAATATCACCTTATTATCTACAAGTACATAGTTAAGTAACAATATAACATTTTAATATTTTTTACAGAAATGAGGAGCTATAAAGATAATAATATATTATGGTAATTTTTTTTTACATATTGGTGCTGGGTTACTCTTAAGCTTTATAAAGAATGCTTTTGGGTCAAATAGCTTGCAGAAAGTCACTATAATATCTTACTTTCTTCTTCGGACATTGTCTTTGTAATTCTTTTGCTATTTTTAGTTTAGACTTAGGTCTATAACTTAGGGTATGGGTCTAACATATTTCTGCATTTTTGTATTCAGGTACAAAACCTCCTGTACAATTTGTCTGTTTCCCCAGGATTTTAACACATGTTATTAAAATGAAAACTTGATTACTACATGTTCTTTGTTTAATTAATAATTGAAGCTGCTAGAGGCAGAGTGGCCTAATAATAAAAAGCATGATTCTCGATAAGGAGGAAAATTTTCACTTTTTGGCACTGTGCTCGTGTAGATTAAAAATTTTAAACTATGAAAATATAAATCACTCAAGTTATAAAATAGCGGCCTCAATTGAACAATGGCATGGCTTAGTTACAATAAAGGCAGAAATGTGTCTTACACTAAACTTTGTACATTATATAGATTAAGTTCATACTTAAAATAAACAACTTTTTAGGTACTTCACATACATAGGTCTGCTAGTGGCTACAGGAATCCTACTTCCAAAGTCAGCATCGCTTGGAGGTATTGTCGGGATCATGGTCATCTCTTATATTGTCGCTGCAGAATACTATTGCATGATTAATGGACATGCAGGCCTCGTCAACTTGAAAGACTTTGATTTGATGCAAATATTTCACACTTAGATGCACTTGATTGATGAATTTGATCTTGTATAGATTTGACTTTATAGAAAACTAGTAAATGAGTTTAATATATTCCCGGAATAAGTAAGAAAAGAAATGAACGTTCTATGACAACTTTGTGTCCTTGTTCTTTAATTGTGGAAAAGAGGCTTTAATAACTAATTTTGTCGCATTAAAGTAAATTACAATCTAATAAAAATTTTACAGAAAAGTCAAGTTATTTATTTAACATCTACAACTAAGAACAAACAAACATCTACAAATTCACACTTATTAGTAGATAGGTTATGCAAATGTTTTCACATAGCATATTATGTTCCTGTTATTTGATATCCAGGGAAAGTTGTGTGTGTCTGTTTTTTGTGGACCTTTTACTAGTTTTGTATCTGTCTGTAAACTTTTCATTAGTATAGGTAAGACCAATATTTGCCATTTTGTAATGTTTTTATTTATTATAGAACATATTTTCACTTGCGAAACTATATACGAGTTATTTTGGTGCAATTCAATTCGGCATACGACAATATTTGTATGTATTTTCCATTCATGTACCTACGATAAGATTGTATATGTTGATTTGTGATTGAGTGTAAATATTGATATTCCTTCCATGTGTGTGTTGACTTTTTTTTATTAATTAAATAGGTTTTAATTTGATTCAACTGGGGTTAAAGAAAATATAATTTTTTTCACAGAAATTTATTTAGTTAAATTACCTTTTGCTATTACTAGGTTTTTTAATACTGTGTGTAATTGTATCATAAAGAATGTGTATGTGACAAGAAATTATGACAAAGGTGTTGTATAATAATTATTATAGTCACAATTGATCTTGGCAAAAGAGTGTAGGTAGGTATAGTTTGATGATTGAATTCTGGGGCTTTCTTTCGCCCTTCAGATAAAACACTTGCAAAATTCCGTACAGTACAAGTAAAAAATTTAGTAGCAATCTCTTTGATGTCTCTACATGCTAACTCTTTAGCATATAACTTCCATTAGCATATAGCATTATAATAACGCACACTTGTTAAAAAAAAGATTGATATTGTTTCAATCAATAGTAGAAAAATCAAGTAAGTTTCAATCACTTAAATTGAAGATAGATTGATCTTTTTTCGTATAGCAATATAAAATGTCTTTATTTGTTAACCAACTGTCCTAGTAGGTAGCTTCAAAAGTACTTGAACATTCTCTCTTTATTTTAGGTGGTTAATCTTGTACATCACTAACAATTATACATTTGCTGTATCCTATTCCTTCAAAGCCGATAATTTTTGCGTTTATAACGTATGGATGAACTTTTGGTTGTATCTTAATAATGAATTGTATTCAAGTTAAAATAGTACATGACTTCCATAAAGAAATATATTTAAGTGATATAATTTAATTTTATTACGTGTGATATTATATATAATTATTGTGAATGAATTTTTTACGATTTGTGTTACATCCTATGTGAGATTTTGAAATAATAATTATAATTTTAAATTGTGTTTTCTTAAAATTGAGCGTAGACTTTATTAAAAAAAATACAAACTATGAAAATATAATCAATTAGTTGAACTGGCAAACGTTTTGTTTGCCGTACGAAGTATACCGACGGAATTTGATTTCCCTATTATTATATTCCATGTTTCTTGCGAGTTACTCTTAAAAGATCGCGACCGACATCGTGGGTTACATCTACAAAGATGAAGAGGTTTGCAAAAACAAATTTTAATTCCCGAAATAACTAATCTACGTGGACGAAGTCGCTGACACAGCTATTTCTAAATAAACATCACCGTCTAACGTAATATAACATAACTGGTGATTTTTTTTATGCGTATACAGTTTTACTTTTTGAGCGTGTGCAACAAAGACTATTGGTCATGCCTCGGTACAGACGAGTACCTAAGTTGTGGATAATAATGTATTGAGTAACAGGAGCTCCTGTCAATCAATACAGCGTGACCGTGACACGGTTTTACTCGCCTACAGGTGAGTTTTTATAGGCCTTAAATTATAAGCTGAAGCGATTTTCACATTCTGAAATGTATGCAGCGTGGGTTAGTGGTAGTTTTTTTGTTTAGTGGGTTTACGATTTAAGCCATTATAGACAGTTCAGTTCCACGATTGGAAATCATATGTATGTTTCATATACACGGACGCATGACGCGTTATTTAGTGCCTATAGACAAGGAACTTTATTTTTTACACCCCCCCCCCCCCCCCATTACGACGGCTGTTCCAAAGCACCTAAAACGTTAGGCCGTAGCTATAAATAGATTGTAAATAAATTAAATAATCTATTTTGCGTTTTAAACCGTAAATAGTGTTTTATTTAAATGCATAGATTAACATAACATAACTATATAATAAATTTGAGTACGGGTATGGTGGCCCAAGACAAATACAAATTAGCTAAGAAAACACTTTTTGTTTTTGTTAACGCTGAAGTTAATAACTTGATCCCCAGTCGTTGCCCACGCGTTATGTAAGTGGCAACTTTATGCAAATGGTTTAATGGCCTCTACGTGTAGTTGTTAGTTTTAGATAACACAACTAATATTTGTTTTGACATACGTTACTATAACTCATTTCTCTAACATTTGTCATTACATAAAGTGTTTGAAATCTTAATTATGTTTCCCATGTTTTTTTTATTGCACATGATAAATCATAAAATCTCGACGGGGATGTCTGGGACACGGTAGCTCAATTGGTTAGAGCAACAGCAAGGAACGCTGTCGATGCCGGTTTATGTCCTGTCTGTGTCGTAAAAAAAACAATTTAAAATCGTGTTTGTAATTAAGTTCAAATCGAGCTATCGAGGAGTTAACATCTCCTGATGATGTCGTCCACACGTGATGGCGAAACGTCGAGAACCTCTTCTCGCTCACATCGGCCGAACAGCCCGAAAGACTGATATACTGAACGATGGCCGTGAAAGCCTTACACAATTTATTAAGTTCAAATAGTATAACATAAATTTATTTTTAATTAATAAGATACTCCTTTAATTTTATGATTAACAAAATAAAATAAAAATTACGTAAGCGTGCGCGAAGCAGTATTTAATACCTATAGAGTATATTATGAAGTAACATTTGTAAAGGCTTAAACATATGTAGATAGAGTAAAAGATCAGTAAAATTACAAGAAATCAATCTTTTAAAATAAAACATTTATAAAACAATTTATTTTAAGTATGACCCGACGTTTTGAATGCTTTGAAGCAGCAGTGGTCACGGGGGAACATTAACAAATCGATGTTCAACTTAGTTTGGAATCTGTTGCCAAATTGCCCAGCATGATAAGCGCGAGGGATCCTGAATTCGAAATCCGGTGAAATAACAGGTAGTCATCAACTTGCCTGTAAATAAAACCGATGAGTTATTTCCGACATAGATATTTGTCCACACTAAGAACGGAGAGTGGAGTTCCATTTTACTTAAACCATAATTGTTATCTGGGAAACATAACATAGACTGCCATTAAATATCGCAAAGATGTTATTTCCAAAACCTGATTTACAAAAAAAGTCTCTTAAAAGTTAACTTAATGTATTCGGATAAGCTGAAAACAAGTTTTGTTATAGATCGTCCGAAAATGGCAGGTTGTTTTGCGAGTTTGGCGGACTCGAGACTACAATAAGGCGAACATTTTTATAAGCAAAGCATAAAAATATGGTAACAGTTAAACCAGCCGTCGCCGTTTGCAAATATGGCGGTTGTCTATATGTGGTTTCGTAATAAATCTAATGTGGTTGATAGAATATTATTATCAAATGTACCAAAAAGCTGACCTCCCAATTTTCCATCCCCCTTTGCGGATGTTAGTTTAGATTATAAAACCCCACTACTGCTGAAAATCAAACTCAGTAAGGGATCTAGTCCATCTATGTCCTTAATATCCGCGTTCCGTGTTCTTTGATCCACCCCCCTGAGCTCGGCGTGGCTTTGCATACTTATTAAAAATCCACAGACTGAAATCGAAACGCGATTAAATTTCACGATTTTTTCGACGTGACCCGGACGGAATTTCGAAATTCCTACCAGCCCTTCAACACCCAACTATCGATAGGAAGTGTAACTAACATGATTCAGATTTTTTTTAATATGTTAGATTCGACGGGAATCGAACCAAAGATTATTATCCATTAATTACTACCATTAAACCCAGGCTCGTTGGTCTAACGAAACCTATCATTAAGATTTTGCTGTTTGTCTGTCTGTCACCAACCGATA